ATGAAGATCACGCAGCCTGGGAGAATGGTGTTTAATCCAAACAAGTAATGAACAGGAATAAATGGCCTACCTCTCTGCTCAATCTCCTGGATGCACATGTCCACTACCATGGGCCTTGGGGTATTGTGTGCTTTCACCAGGGTGGTAAGGTCGCAGCTGTATACTTTCTTGATGCGCTTCAGATCTGGCTGGCAGTCACTGGGCACGTATTTAGAACACTGTTTATGTACATTCAATCCGCAGTCTAAAAGGGAACAAATACAAGCAGTGAATACAAAACACATTCAAAAAGTTGCCACGTCAGAGTAACAATAATTATCAAACTTTAGCTAAACCCAGCCTAACTACCATCAACCAGGGGTGCCAATTAGGCTAACCTGTTACTTACCCTGCATGGGCAAAACACAAGTTAATTTTAAAGAAAACCTTTCCAAAAAGACATGGAGGCTGCCATTTTAGACTTTTTATTCTAACAAATGCTAGCTGTCTGCAAGTCATTCTGACCCTCTGGCTTTAATACCTTCAATCACTTACCCAGCACAAGTATGCAGATAAAAACTTCTGACTACTCTGACCTTTCTGATTTTTATATTTTGCATACAGTGGGGTTGGTTTACTAAAGACAAATAAGCTGTTTAATTTGCAAAGGTGCAAAGTGAATGTGGTGAAAATGTACTTTGCAAAGAGTACCCAATCATGTAAAAGGAAAATTTAAAAAAACACAGTATTTTTGCTTGTATGTGATTAGATGATGGAAGTCATCCCAGCTTATTCTTTTATTTGACCCAGGTCTGGTAGATGCATTACTAATTCCCAATAAATCCCATTGAGTCAGGTCAGTGACTCAAAAATATGGAAGCCAGATCGTCAGCAGAACTGGAAATATATGCAGAATCCATATTTCCCTAGCACATGTTTATTCTAAGTATTCTTAGAATTATTAGAAGTTATTAGATTAGCATTATTAGAAGTGTTCTAAGAAAATATTTTTTCATCACTTTGTATGGTGACAATAAACATATTTTTCCTATTTTTTCCAAACTTGTACATATAACACCAACATAAATGTAGAAAACTATGGACCACATACTGATTTTCCCCATTAGAGGTCCCTGTCCACAAGTATTAGTAATAACAGCTATAAAGAATTCTAAATGGACGTGGGTCCGTACATGGGAAATATGTGACAACACAGCAATATGATTCATGATAAGTCAACCATTTCCACATCATGTAGGTTGAAACATAAATAAGACAAGGCTGACCCGACAGCTTGATGCTCATCTGAGCTGGCAACACATCACAGTTAATGATTTTTCAGCAAATAAATTGTGTTCCTTTTCACATTACATGTGGGTCCGCTCTAAACTTGGCCTTAATGTGGGAGCTGTTGAGAAATTTCCGTGCTATTTTTGAAGTCAGATCAGGATTTTATATAGACGCCAAAGATAGAAACAAGAACTGTTTGACTCCAAGTGGAAATTCTCATGAATGTTTCCAAGTATAAATACTTTGTCTGGAAGAATGTATATTTGTTATGTCTAGTGTGCACTGACAGCTAATGACAGTCATATTTCATACATTAATACAGTACTACTGTTATGTGGAACTCCAATAAACACTGATCATTTTTTTCTGCAATTTAAAAATGCCAAAAACACATTAAACAACCTTACACTTTGTATATTGCTATACCCCTGACTATTGTATGAATGTAGGAAGCAAATAAGGTGTATCTTAACCAAAAGAAACCCCCAAAAAACTTGCATCTTGGTGCCAGGAACACATTTCTTGAGGATGGAAACACTCACTCACTGTACTGTATGGTGGAGCAGCCTAGGAGAGATCTGCAGAACCCCTCCCCTATTTCTATCATCCAAACCATAAGGGAAGTATTTTGTAAACCACAGAGACACCTGGTAACAATATAACTGATAAGAGTGCTGCAGAGAGCACCTGATGTTATCAGCAAACAAGATTTCTGGAAAGTTCAACACGTAATTTGTGGACTTATTGAAAATGCTTACAATGAATATTTAGCAGGCCATACGGGTACAAACAAAATAAGTTAATTGTTAGGGTTCATATACACTTTATGGGCTTTGTTTTCTGTATGTCAGAAAATATTTTTTCAGATTTGGATAATTTAAAGGAACCAATCACAAGTAAAGGAGCTGCTATTGCTGACTTTCACCCTGAAGCTTGCCTCGTTATTTGGTGAGACATTGGGGTTGATTTACTAACCTTATAAACACACCACGAACGTGTATACACCTCTGCAGTGTGTTCCCTCCCAGCATGATCTATGGGTGGAATCTAAACACCTTTGTAATGTGTACACACCCAGCAGGTGTGTTGTGCAAAGCCCTGAATGAATTCCAAGGTGATGTTGGGTAAATTAGCTCTATGTTGTGTTGCTTGCGTTGATGAATGCAAGGAATGTAAATGCATAAGCTAACCATTTTTGTCTAAACTGTGAAGCAGCATTATATATGCATCATGTGCATGATTTTTCCATATATGGCATTAGTGGAAATATGCTTTTAGAGACTTTTTGGTTGATAAATACGTTTTGCTGTGTGAAATCACACACACCTGGTGTGTGTGTTTAGGTTAGTAAATCACCCCCATTGTCTTGGAACAAGCATGTCCCCATTCAGGTAAGGATGTCCTCTCATACAGAGGTCGGCAATGGCAGTTCTCACATTTCTAGAATGGCAAAATGTCTTTAAACATATACAGGGTTATACAAGAGTTTGGAGAAGGCAGGAGAAGTGAACAATCTAGGACAACATAGCTGATTTGGAAAAATTGTCCTATTCAGCTCACTTTCCAGTTCAGCTATGTTGTCCTAGATTGTTCACTTCTCCTGCCTTCTCCAAACTCTTCACCCTTTAGTGAATAACCCTCATAATGCTTATAAAGGAAAGGAAAGTGTACAGCATGTTTGCAAGTGGACAAAGCAGTAGCAAGAATAGAATACAAAGCAGCTAGAAGGCATCCTGAAATCTGCAGCATTTGGCCACAACTTGTGGTACCTTTTCAAATCTGGGCATGGGAGTTTCCTGAAGTTGTACTGAAGAAAGAAGAGGGTAAAACCACAATCATTTTCAAGCCAAGCTAAGGGAAACAAACACCGCTTTGCTCAGTGCCCATGGATACTGAGCCTTTGGTCATGAAACACTGTGAGAAGCACTCCAATGGCTGCAGGAGTACACATTAGGTTTGATTTACTGAAGTCAAGTAGGCTGTTCACATAGCTTCAGTGGGGTATACACGGGTCTATTTTTTTCGTCCAACCCACGGGAGAAAAAAAAAATAGAACAGATTCCTCCATCCATATTGAACAGCTTCTATTGTATTCTGGCAGCACCCGTCAGCCGTTGTCAGAATACCTGAACGGAATTTGCATCTGATTGGCTGCAAGCCAATTCGGCTTTCGGCGTTCGGCCGAAGATTTTCAGATATGTTCTAATAATCGACTTCTGCTGAAGGAATAAGGATACCAACACCGCCAATTTCGGCTGATTCCTGCTGAAATTTGCTGCATGTGTACCCAGCTTTAGTGAATGTGGTAAAGCTCTGCTGATTTCCATCATCCAATCATGTGCAAACACAAAAATACTATTTTTTTAATTTTCATTGGAAGTGATTGGGTATTCTTTGTACAATTAACTTTCACCACATTCATTAGGCTAAGAGAAAAGTACCCTAGCAAAGTGATCAACCTATTTGCCTTTAGTAAATTAACCCCAGGTTGTGTGCCAGGTTATGAAGCATGTGCATATACTGTATATATGCAGCCTTGTACTGTTTTGCACTTCTTGGTGAGCATTGTGTTGGAAGCTTTAACAGAAAAATAGCAACCGTGTAATGTTTTGTTTTTAGGTTGAACATATGTCTGTATTATGGATTTTCATACACATATAAGTACTAGAGGCATAGGCGTCTCTACAGGGGGGAAAGGGGGGGGGGGGAGAAGACCACC